CTGGTTTGCCCAATTCCGAGATGGTAATGAATCCCTTGAAGACGAATCGCATGGACATCGTGCCACAGCCATCGACAACAATGAATTAAAGCTGATCCAATGCAAAAAACACGAGAACTTGCCAAACATCTCCAATTCAACAATTGTACGCCATTTGGAAATAATTGGAAAGACAAATCGTAATGGACAATGGGTTCCACATCAATTGAGTGTTGAGAATCTGGGAGCACGCGTTCCGATCAGCCATATCTTGCTCCAGAAGTCGAAAAGAAGCCATTTTTTTTGAGAATATCTTGACGATGGATGAGAAGTGGATTCACTTTGATAATACTTCTCGAAAAAGACAATGGCTGAGCAAAGGTCAAGCGCCAATTCCAACTCCAAAGCCGGATTATCATGGGCGCAAAGTGATGTTGTCTTGCTGGTGGAATATCAATGGACTTGTTCATTTTGAATTATTAGAGCCCGGAAAAACAGTCGATTCATCTTATTTTATTCAACAACTCAAGAAGGTTGACGAAATTTTGCGTGAAAAAGGCCTAAATCCCTCAACTATCAACTTTCTCCGTGATAATGCTCCAGCTCACACGGCAAAAACCTCTTGTAAGGAACTAGAGAAGCTAGGATGGAAGGTCTTACCACATGCGCCGTATAGTCCAGACTTAGCACCCTCCGATTTTCACCTTTTCAGATCGATGCAACATTCCCTTGAGAATTGCCAGTTTAAGAATGCAAAAGAAGTCGAAAATTGGGTGACCAACTACTTTGCATCACAGAATCAAGCGTTCTTTGAGAAGGGGATCCGCAATCTGTAGCAACGTTGGAGGGATGTCATAGATAATAATGGTGCTTATTGTTTTAAATAAATTGTTATCAAAAAAAATTTTGGATGACTTTAATGTTTGTAAAAAAACGAAATTTCATTTGCACCAACCTAGTACAGTCATCCAAAAAGTCTGGACCCATCTAAAAAAAATATTTTAAGACTTTGTAGCGGTTCTTTTAGTGGAAATGATCTTCTGAAGTCTTCTGGGCATTAATAAGACCAATTTGAGCAGCACTTGTTGAGAAATCATCATTCATACTTATTCCACATGAGCCCATAGAGCAGCCTTGTTGCGAAACTTCTGTCCAAATTCCAATTTTGCCTACAAACAATCGACTACAAGTGTTCAATGGGGTTGATGAGGCTGTAGGGAGATGGTCAAAGTAATTCAGCTCCATTTTGACGAAACCAGCCCGGCATCCTTACAAAAATCCTCCCCGAATCCAAAAATCCTTCCCCGAGTTGAACATGTTGATCTTTGTCTCGTCACTCCAGAGAACCCTCTTTCAATCGTCTATCATTTGTACTTTGCGATGGTCAATCGCAATCGCCAATGCCTAAAAACCCTCACAGGCTTTCGTGCTGGTCGGTGGGCAAGCAATCGATCCCCCACTAGATCTCATCGTCAGCTACATTTTCCGACCCCACATTGATAGATTCTGATAAGCGGTTCTCGAGATTTCGAGGAATTTAGGCAACGCTCAGGGTGCACTACTATTAGAGAAAATACGGTATAGATTGTTCTCTTTCCAGGGAGGCCCTCACCTGCCCATCAATCTTATCTCACCAAACAACAATTGTGGCCTTAAACTTAAGCCCGGTCAAACCTATCTGCTCACTGGTGAGTGGGATCGTTCAAGCCGGCGTTCAAGCCGACGTTCAAGCTCAAGAAACATTAATCAATTTCAGGTCAACGAGGCCATAATATTCCCGGAACAGAGATCTATGCGACTCGATGTTCACAGTACAATCAATTGCAGTCTCCACTTTTGAGCAAGGTAATAGACTAGCTGATAATAGAATAGGTGATAGACTAGCTGGCAATCAAATAGATGATCAAATAGAATCCATTGAACTTTTAGATTCCACCGAAAACCCTCTCTAGTCTCAAATGTAATTAGAGTGAAAGGAACAATTTTATCGTTTTCTCTCAATGTTTTTTTCTTGTATAAACATGGTTTTAATAAAAACTTAATTGAAAAGAAATACAAGTGAAAATAAAACAAAAAAAAACTCATCGTTCATAGCATTGAATTGCTTGCTGATTGCTTCATAGCACTGAATTGCTTGCTGATTGCTGATCTATCAAATTCCTCCCGAAATTTTGTCTTGTTTTGTTCTGGTCACAAGAATTTCGGCGAAAAACTGCCTTGCTAGACTAATGGTTTGGCAGCCTAGCCAGGTTTTCTTTGTTTTACTCTTTTCTTTTCTTTTCTCTCCGATCCTTTTCCTGTACATAAAAGACATGGAATATCCCCTTTGGGGGATAAAATCACTGATCGAATTGACTCAATCCCATTAGCATCGCTCCCTCTGTCTCCTGTAAACCCGTTCTCTGCTTGTTCTTCGCTCTGTCTCCCTACAAATCCTCATCAAATTTAGCCATTCCAAGCCATTCCAAGCCATTCTAAATCCGAGCACTCGCTGTGGATAATTCAAATTTTAATTTAACTTCATTATTTGTTACTCATGCTTGTTCTATTCGTTTTCTTGCTATTAGTCTCTCCTGTTGTCTCGCAAGGAGGATGGAACTTTAATGTAGCCGATATTTTTAGTGAGTTTTGAGGAAAACTTTCTGTTAGAAAGTGTTAGAAAATTATTAGGGAACGGGCTTGAACGATCCCACTCACCAGTGAGCAGATAGGTTTAATCGGGTTTAAGTTTAAGGCCAAAATTGTTGTTTGGTGAGATAAGATCGATGGGCACGAACGTGAGCTTTCGTTTCCGGACCACAAACTAGATCGAGTAAAGAGATTCTTAAGCTGAAATCAAAATCTGCTAAATAAGCTTGAAAACGCGTAAAAATTGAATTGAAATTTCGAAGATAAGCTTTAAAAAATGCTTTTCAATGGCTTTCAATTGGCATCGGTGGCCTAATGGATAGTGGGACGGCCTGGCCAGTAAAACCCGGGTTCGGTCCCGTTCTTGGTTTTTTTAGTCGCTAGTTACACAGTTTGCTTCGTTTACACAGTTCTACACATTTCTACACATTTCTACACATTTCTACACAATTCTACACACTTCTACACAATTCTACACAGTTCTACACGGTTCTAGACACCGAAATTTCAAAATTCTCTTCAACACTCATGGTATATGGCTGGATATTTAAACTTGAAACCAGGAAGATTTCAAACGCCAATGGAATTTGACTTTCCACGAGATATCGACAATAAATCGTGTTCTAAAGTAGGATGCCAACAGAATGCTTTTATCAGATGTTCGAATTGTGAAGAGTTTTTTTTTGTTTTGGATGCTTCGTAATCGTGTTTCATATTTGTTAAGATTTCACCTTTCGCTTTGTTATATTGAATAGTTATAATGCAAAAAATTACATTTAAAGAAAAGCCAAAAACCAAGATCAGACCAAAAACCCGTTCTTACTACTGAGCGGCCGTCCCACTATCCACTAGGTCAATGAAAAGCGATTGAAAAGCGCTTTGAAACCTTATCTTGAAATTTTCAATTCAATTTTTACGCGTTTGTAGACTTATTTGGGAGATTTTGTGTTCAGATTATGAATCTCCATACTCGATTTAGTGAGATGTATGTGCTCCGGAAATGAAAGCACACAGGAAGTTCGTGCCTTGCTCTAGTTAATCTTTTATCAACAGACTATAGCGTTGGTCTAACAGCTTCATTTTCTTTTTAGATTAAAAGTGAAGCTATGATTGGAATGTAGACAATGATAGTACAAAACGTAATTACCGATTTCACTAAAAAAATTCTCAAAACTTTTTTTCATCAACGGTATGCTTTCCTGAATTCAATCTATTACTTATTAGGGGTTTTAAATAATAAAAAGAGAATAAGAATAAATGAAAGAAACCTTTCCAACCAGAAGCTGAATTTGTATGGTTCGAAATTAACTTTTTTAACGAAACATCTGTCGGTCTTTTTTTTCCCGTTGGCAATCCAAGGTTTTTCGTGTTTTTCTCAGCATCTACCTTTCTATTTTTACTATTTTAACTATCATTCAATGCAGAATAAAATTGCGCATCGAATGATACCAAAATCAACTCAAAATATAAGATCCATGAAAAGTTATGAGGCAAAAGGTTAAGCCCCGCCGATAATAGACGAGGTTTAGCTTTTTAGCCAACAACTTTGCGTGGATCTTATATTTTGAGTTCATTTTTGTATCATTCGATGCGCAATATTATTCTGCATCGAATGATAATCAAAATAATCAAAATCAATAGGTGGTTTAGCCAACAACTTTACCCAAAAAGAATCGAATTCCATTCGAATTTCCCCAAAAATTCCCTTTCAACTTCCAGCTGCCAAGCCACCAACTTTGGACGACTTTGTGAAGGATTACAACGAGTTCGTCAAGCGCTTCAACAAGAACATCCAACCCGAAGAGTTACCCAATCATTTCAACGAATTCGTGAAGAAAGTCGGCGACATGCCAAGCGATTTCTTCAACGCTCTCACATTGTTGCCCACCGCACTCGCACATGCGAGAATTTTACCGTGAATAAATTCTATACAAATGTTATTTGTTAATAAAAAAAACTATTCTAGTTTTTGGCCCGTTTTTAAAAAAAAAGATTGACAAAATAGCAAAAAAATCTGTTTTTTTTGAATCAACGGTTGTTGGACTTTAATTTTCTTAAAAAAAAATCGCTCCTCAACTCGAACTTTCCATCTTTTCACCCGGAACCATAACTCTAAAAGGGATAATCTTCTCGTTGCCAAGTTTAGTATATCTTTTCTTTTGTCTTTTTTTGTAATAAAGAGATCTTGCACACAAATGAAGTCACTCAAGAACAAATCTAGCCAATCAGCCATTGTTCTTTCAGAAATTTGTGATCAAAAGAGAAAGGAAAGATTAAAAAAAACTGAATTTTGTTGAAAGTTGAAAAACTCTTCAAGAAAAAACAGATTTTCTCACGTCGACTCGTTTAGCAGAGCTTTGGTTTTCTGTTTCAGTTAAAATTACGGTCACAAAATGGTGACACCAGGAGCAAGACCGGCTGTCTGTGCCCTGTCGCTTATCGGTTATCTCTGCAATGGAATGTTGATTTATTTGATCAAGAAAAATCCGAATTCACGAATGGGAAACTATCGGTGAGTTGTAGAAGTGATTGGGTCGGATTTAGTCGGATTTGATCGGTCGGATTTGGTCGGTTGGATTTGGTCGGTTGGATTTGATCGGTTGGATTTGATCGGTTGGATTTGATCGGTCGGATTTGGTCGGTTGGATTTGGTCGGTTGGATTTGATCGGTTGGATTCGGTCGGTTGGATTCGGTTGGTTGGATTTGATCGGTTGGATTCGGTCGGTTGGATTTGATCGGTTGGATTTGGTCGGTTGGATTTGGTCGGTTGGATTCGGTCGGTTGGATTCGGTCGGTTGGATTCGGTTGGTTGGATTCGGTCGGTTGGATTTGGTCGGTTGGATTCGGTCGGTTGGATTTGGTCAGTTGGATTCGGTCGGTTGGATTTGATCGGTTAGATTCGGTTGGTTGGATTCGGTCAGTTGGATTTGATCGGTTGGATTTGATCGGTTGGAGTCGGTCCAAAAGGGTTTCCGGTCGACCTGGCTCAACCCAAAGTCCGACAATCCGACTTGACGTCTATCTCTAGTGAATCTAAAGATCTAAGATCTAAAGTCCTCTACCAAATATCTAATCAAATATCAGATATATCAAATATCAAAGTTCATGTGATTAAACTCAGATATCTTATTCTTATGTTGACCATTTTCAACATCGTCTATGCCACCGGCCATTTGGTGGTCTTGCCGGTGAGTGTATCTGGGAAAATTGGCATTGAGTGCTGTTATTAGGTTGTCCCAGAAAAACCCAGAGATTTTCAATTTTATTTATTTTCAACACATATAAACAACAAAGAATCAGAATCAAATGATAAAGTTCGACTGTACATGATAAAGATAACTTTACTTACTTAAAAGGTTTTGTTAGACTAACAGTTAGTTGAACACAGTGTTAAGCTATAATCTAAAAGCAGAAACCCAATCTTTTAGCTCACCTATATGCATGATTTCGGTTGGTGTTTCTACTCGTCGTCATTCCTCAGCGGATACAAATTCAGTGAGTGATAAAATTGATTTCGATTTCTAAAAACCGAACTGTGCTAACAACCGAACGAAGAACTTATGGCCGTGTACCGAATTGAATGCCGAAATGTTTCAGTTGGCTATGCTCTCATCCTTGGCTACTGTTCGATCTTTGCTCAATCCACCATTCTCCTCGCCTATCATTTCATCTATCGATACGCATGTATCTGCAAGTAACACATAGAAGTGTGATCGTGAGTGTTTTCTTTTTCAGAACTGAGTGGCTCGAGGTGATCAACACGAAACGAGCCATTTCTATGGTCATTTTCTGCTACATCCTCTACTTTGGGCTATGGGTGGCAATGGTTCATCTATTTGCCGGTAAGGAAATGGATCTCTTTGAACCAGACTTTGAAAACACTGACTTTAGGTCCAACCGATGCATTCAATGAGCGAATCGCTATCGGCTTTTATGAGTATTCGGGGCAATGGCCAAATGAGACAGCACTGATTGGAGGATATTATTTGGTGATAAGTCTTACAAATCTTACAGAGGACGGATGATTGGGTCCAGGGGTTTTGGGGATGACATTTTGGTGATGACAAGCTAAATTTCAGTGGGGCAAAGGCGGACAAAAATCGCTGCAAAGCGCCGAAAAATTCTTGGTCTAATTTCTTGATAAAATACGTTTTTATATTTGAGAAATATTGAGAAGACAAATTTTTTTTGGGTCTGATTGGGTCCCGTGGCCTTTTCCGATGTTATATAGGCCATTCGACGCAGAATTTTACACTGACTCCAATGATGTAAACATAGCTGCTGAATGGCAGGTATTCACCGCTAAACTGGGGTAAAAGTTTTGAGCCTCTCCTTTTAAGCTGACTTTTTTCAACAAAAATCGTTCATCGGTGGCCGAGTGGTTGAGTGATCATTCGAGGAACTAAAAAAAAGAAAAAACAAAATTTACATTGACAAGTTGTTAAATGTTTAACAAGAATGACAAACCACAATCGAATGATGCAAAAAAAAAGCAAGAAAATATGAGACGGCTTTGAACTCTTGTCCCTCAGCTTTCTGTACAACCACTCGGTCACCGATCAACCGTTCGTGCTGAAAAAATCGACTTAAAAGGAGAAGCTCAAAACTTTTATGCCAGTTCGGCGATGATCACCCGCTATTCAGCAGCTATTTTTTACATCATTGGAATCAGCGTAAAATTTTGCATCGAATGGCCTATATATCATCGGAAAAGGCCACGGGATGACCCAATCATCCTTCCCATGTTAAAAATTTAAAAAAAGGCTTTTTTTTTGATAGCTAGCAACCTCGATTTTTTAGCTACGAGATAACAACAGTCATTTGCACATCAATTTACGTCCGTGGATCGCGGTGTGTGTTTGCCAGACACAAATGAGTTGTATGTTCGGAGGTGAGTCTACAAGAATGAGACTTTTTATTAGCTTTGCACTAGTTTGTTACTTGAGACAAGAATTAGTTATTTATCTATTATATATAAAAGTGTCTATCTGTCTGTCTACCTGTCCATCGATCTGTCTGTCTGTCTACCTGTCTGTCCATCTGTCTACCTATCTGTCTGTCTATCCGTCTGTCTATCTGTCTACCTGTCTGTCTGTCCATCTATCTGTCCATCTATCTGTCTATCTGTCTGTCTATATGTCTGTCTGTCTACCTGTCTGTCTATCTGTCTACCTGTCTGTCTGTCCATCTATCTGTCCATCTATCTGACTGTCTGTCTATCTGTCTGTCTATATGTCTGTCTGTCTACCTGTCTGTCTGTCCATCTATCTGTCCGTCTGTACGAGCATTTTCTCAGCCATATTTTGACCAATAAAACTTCTTCAGAAAACCTTAAAATATATTGTAGTTGTGCCATTTAGAAAAGTCTTCAAAAATCAAATTTTGGTGAAACACCCGGGAATCAAACCCGGACCGTGTGTGCCGTAGACAAGGGTGTCCCCAAGTGCACCAAGGCGACAAAGCATCGAGTCAGAGCCAGGCTGTTAAGCGGGCTTTTCGGCTGGATTGTTTTATGTGGTTTTTCGGTTTTTCGGCTGATCTGGCTATAAAGTTGAATATATACTTGCTGGAATACGGTAGAAGCCAATTGACACACAACCCATCTAGCATTTTAAATGCATTCTGTCTCTAACCAGAGCGTAAAACGTTCGTTTTAGTACTAGCCAGTAATGTCTCTGCTAGTCATTACCGGTTGTGTAAACTTTTACAAGTAAAATTTCAAATTCCTATTATCAAGTGATCCTCTACTGTGGCTGGTCGATGCATCGCAAGTTGAGCTCATCAGAAATGGCATCAGAGAGGGGTTTCCGATTGCAAAAGCAACTTTTCCGAGCCCTACTCATACAGGTATATCGACTAGAATCCATCCATCTAGAAAGATCCACTTAGCAAATCTATTTCAGTTATTCTCTTAATCAAAAATGTTTCAGTTTCTGGTGCCAATCATTCTCGAGTACATCCCATGTGTTGCCGTCTTCTTTCTCCCCTTAACGGGTGGAGATTTCAATCTTGAATGGGCAACTCTCGCCGTCTCATCGTATCCAATTTTCGAGCCACTTGTTGTCATCTATTTTGTCAAGGTTTAGAACTTTATAGAAATAGTATAAACTGTAATATTTAGGAGTATCGAATCACTCTCCATAGAACCATTTTTGGCAATCTCAAAGGTGGCACCGTTTCTCAAACTTTTGAGAAAACCACACAGGTTTAAAATTTGCAATTGGTTCTAGAAAGGTTTTATTGTTGGTTCTGTTGTTGGTTCTGTTGTTGGTTCTATTGTTGGTTCTGTTGTTGGTTCTGTTGTTGGTTCTATTGTTGGTTCTATTGTTGGTTCTATTGTTGGTTCTGTTGTTGGTTCTATTGTTGGTTCTATTGTTGGTTCTGTTGTTGGTTCTGTTGTTGGTTCTATTGTTGGTTCTGTTGTTGGTTCTGTTGTTGGTTCTGTTGTTGGTTCTATTGTTGGTTCTGTTGTTGGTTCTGTTGTTGGTTCTGTTGTTGGTTCTGTTGTTGGTTCTATTGTTGTTGTCTGAGTAACGATTGTTCTGTATTTAAGTAAATTGTGAATGAATGTATCTTTCCAGCAACATCCTCACGATTCTCACACGACAGAAGTGAAACGATCGAAGTTAGCGACATGAAGTCGAACTGAATCAACCATTTTCTATGTCTTGTACTTTGCTTGAAAGACACTTACAAATAAAAGCTTTTAGCATCACAAATCAATTGAAAACGCATCGATTCAACAACACTAAAAGCCAGATTTGAAAGGAGACAAAAATTTTCGAACTTGATACAATTTTGCTTGAAGCATTTTTAGTAGATTTTATGGGTTTGATTTTATGGGTGGATTCTAAATTTAGTATTGGGTTGATGAATTGAAAACTGCCGGACTTTGAACTAAAATTTATTGAACATAAAATCATAAATTCATTCCAAATAATTTCCATTATTATTGACGACTTCTGCCCATTTAATAACCAAACAACAAAAGAATATCACAATGGATTAAAGCTTCGCTTGATTTTTGGATAACTATAATTCTTAATAGAAAAGGTACTCTGATACAAATATGGTAAGTTTTTAATATTAGGGGTTTGCAAAAGAAACTGCGTATTATACGCAACGTTCAAACACCTCGAAAATTAATAATAAAAGACTTTATTCCAAAAGGTACTCGCCAAAATTATCAACTATATTTTTCCATTTTTTACGTAGACTTCGGATGCCTGATTCGAAAGATTCCGGATCTTGTGACGCGAAATAGTCTTGCACCCAAATTTCGACTTCTTGGTAATTGTTAAACTGTTGATTTGCAAGGGAGTGTTGCATAGATCGGAACAAGTGGTAATCTGAAGGGGCGATATCAGGGGAATATGGCGGATGAGGCAGAAGATTCCAGCCTAATTCTTCTATGGTGTTTTGCGCCAAGTTTGATGTGTGTACCCGGAAATTGTGAGCGAGTAAATGGATTGTCTTTGGATTAACACCTCTTTCTCGTAGAATTTCATCAACTTTCTTCAGCTGTTCGGCGTAGCTTTGAGAAGTTATAGTTTTTGAAGATTTTTGTAGTTTAAAATAAACGATTCCTTTCATATTCCAAAAGACCGACAGCATAACTTTCTTTCTGTGAAGTTCTGGATGTGATGTCGGAATCGGTCTTTCTCCTTTGCTCAACCATTGTCTTTTGCGTGTTGAATCATTGAAATATATCCACTTTTCGTCCATCGTCAACATGCTTTCAAAAAAAGCACTGCCCGTAGCCTTTTTCAATAAAATCCGAGACAATAAAACTCGATTGGCTTTGTTTTCAGGGAACAATTCATGTGGGACCCATTGGCCACAACGATTCCTTTTTCCAATAAGCAAAAGGTGTCGGAAAATTGTGCTCTTATCGCATTTAAAGCATTCGGCTAATTCGGACAAAGTTTGAGTTGGATCCGACTCGACAACCTCGAGCAACTCCGCATTATCGAGGACAACAGGACGATGTCCATGGGGCTCGTCTTCCAAGCCCTCATTTCCTTCACGAAAACGCCGGAACCATTCCTGACAACTTCTTTCACTCAAAACGTTTTCTCCAAATGCTTCACAAAGATTCCGGTGCGACTCCAATGCTGATTTCTTCATTTTAAAGTCATAGAGAAGGCAAGCCCGCAAAACGAATTTTTGATCCGTCATCTTCGACAACTAAAATTATTTATAATTCAATGGACAAACAAATGTGAAAATCAGTAAAATAAATAAGCGTTATCAACACAATAGAATAAAATTTAAACTGGGTTAGAGCACTTTCAAATAGAGAAAATATTGTTCCAGAAAGTCATGCGCAGTTTCTTTTGCAAACCCCTAATACAATCGGTATTTTTAATAAGAAAGTCCTCAATTTTACTTCGCAACAAAAAAACCAAAGAAAAAAGGACACGACAGAGTAGACCCATAAAAATGCAAGGAAAAGCGGGAGTTTCGGATGAAGCGTTTGTCCCAAAAAGAATATCACAATGGATTAAAGCTTGGCATGATTTTTTTGATAACTATAATTCTTAATATAAAAGGTAATCTGATACAAATATGGTAACTTTTTAATATAATCGGCTTAAACGGTGGCCTTTTTATCCAAATTTAAGAGAAACGAATTATCGATTTAACTCGAGAAACAGGAGAGAGAAAGACGGGAGTTTTAGGTTAAGCATTTGGGGCAAGAAGGAGACCTTGAAAGGAAGCTCTTAGTTTTTTGTCAGAGCCTGAATTTTTACCATTATTTGTGGCTTCACGGCGACAATAAAGGAGGCAAGAACAGGAAACCATGGACACAAGAAATAGTATAAGGACAAATCCAAAAGCCAAAAGCCTGGTATCTATTGTCTCTGGAGTGGCATCTCGTGCTCTGATGTGAGCCGTATCGTACCCGAAACAATCACAAGCCAAAACCTCCTGCTCGGCCACCATCTTCTTTCCGGCGCTCACCGAGTATTTGAATTTCTGAATGTAAATGAATTCTGAATGAATTTCCAAATTGTGAATGTAAATGAAACACAGAAATCGAATGTCAATAACTACCGTAAATACTGTAATTGGACCCTATGGGGTACTATTTTTTCCCTCCCGCTCTAGGGTGGGGTACTATTAGAGGGTGGGTTACTATTTTACACCACTATTCAAGTTACCAAATCAGGATACATTCAAATAATTTGTTCAAAAGCTAACTTTTTCTTTAGTTTTTATTGGTTTTAACCATTTGAAAATTTAACAGCAAAACGAAACAAAAACGACTAACAAGCGAAATCAATAGAAACATCCAAATCAATGAATTCATCATTTTCTTGATCATCAATTCCTCGATGTCCTTGAAATCCCGTCGATGCGAGCGGCTCCTAGAGGTCCTTGATTTCTGTCTCTGTCCGAGCATTTCTCATCGCCTGTACAATAGATTAAAGATAATAATTAAAGATAAGTCCCCCGAAAGAGCGTTACAAGTATTGCGTCGCGATCTCATTATCGAAGCACTTACTTTTCTTCTCTTTCCAACAGAGCAATAACTTCGATTGGAACTTTGTCTCGATTTTTTCGTTCATCGTTTTCCGAGGCACCACGACAAAAGGGCGCAACTTTTTCCCATCGGAACGAGCAGTGAGCATCACGGATATATTCATCTTGTCGTAGCCGCGGGTGAGAACACCAACTTCTTTGGCTCCAACCGCTTCGATGCACTTGCTCGTCGAAGCATCCAGCCAAACCGCCGTCTCATCGCAAGCAACAATGGGCTTGTAATCGCCTTCTTTGATTGTCTTATTCAGCCTCAGAATGTGCTTGACGATGGCCTTCTCAAATTTGCTTGGCAGCTTTTGACAAGTTGTTGTTGGTGCCCTCAAAGAAAGTTGGTGGCGCCTCAAGAACGACTCCATCCAGCCATGGGTTCTTTTGAAAGAAATTTCAGCTTTTTTGAATCGATTAGCCGCTTCATTCCAGATAATCCGGCGTGTCACTCGTTTCTTCTCGGCTCGACGATCCCGTATCCATTCAGCCAAACCGATATCAATCCCCTCCGAGTTCAAGTGGCTTCTAAGTGGGCCAATCTTTATGATTTTGGTGTTACTTGTTGAGATCTACAATCATAAAGATTGGCCCACTTAGAAGAAAGTTATGGCGAGCTGCGCAAAAAAAATTGGCGCAAAGTAGCCGCCCCAAATTTAAAAACAACAAATTTATGGGATAAAATTAAAAATACAAACGATTTCTGAAAATACATGAAAATTTTCCGCTTTAAAAGAGTTGTTTGTAATTACGCGTTAGGTGGGGGTGGGGTACTATTAGAGGGTGGGGTATTATTTTTTCCCTCCCCCTCTAGGGTGGGGTACTATTAGAGGGGGGTACTATTAGAGGGGTGGGGTCCAATTACAGTATTTACGCTCACTAATATTTTTAACTAATTTTACATGATTTACTTACACATTTCCTGAAAAGCGCAAACTTTTTGCTTTCTTTTTCTACTATTTTATTTTGGTTACTAGGTTTTATCAACTTTCACATTTTCGGCCCCATTTCATTTAAAAAGCCAACCTGTGTATGTTGTCGATTGATATCCCTCGATTTGACATGTGTCTCACTTTTCGTCTTCTCACTTTCTTCTCCCGTTTCCACCGCATAATCCAAACCGATTTCGAGCACTTTAAACGTGAGTCCAACATTCCCGCTAATGGTTGTCTAGTATTAGAAAATACAATTGTTTGGCATTTTTCGATACCTGACTGTGGTTCCGATTTCTGTGCTCGTTTGTCTGCGCCACAGAGGACCCTTCAGTCATCCCGACGTTGATCTCAAACTCGAACTCGCCGTCATTCTCCATTTGCCGATTGTCGTGAGTGCCCACGACGTGCCACTCCAGCTTGCACGTTTCTTTTCGGTGCAGACATGTTCCATTTCGTAACCAAATTGGTCCGGTCGCGTTGTGATCGTTGGGTGATTTTTGTGGAGCAAGAGAATCCCCGATATCGATTATTTTATCCGATTTTGCTCTCATTGCCGGCACCAACCAAACTCTCATTCCGCATTGGTAAACCTGAAATTGATGATCAATAAATGATTGAATCGCTACTAAAAAAACAAAATCCAATCAGGCAAAGAGTTTGCACAATGGTGTTAAATTCGAGAATTAACCAAACCTTTGTAGCTATTTTCCTTTCCGGCGCCAACATGTGCACAAGTCGGTCGGTGATCGGATAGCACTGAGAATCAGTCCGGGGATATACAGGAAAGATCAAAATCTCTTTGAAATTAGGCGGAGCTCTAGGCGGCGACCTCATGAAAAGATAAAATGAGTGTGGCGTCTGTGGATTGATCTTAGTGTTTGCCTCCTTCTCCGCGTTCTCCGCATTGAATCGCTGGTGATGATTGGCCGGTAGCGACGCGAATCTGGTGTGATTAACGTGAATCCAATCCATGCTCGGCAAGTCGGCAAATGATCTAATTTCCCATGCCTGCGGTGTCTGATTGTCGATGGTATGTGTGTATCGATCACAATGACAACATAGAAAAATGGCACACAATAGAGTCAAAGAACGCATTTCGAGAATAGGAGAGATTTCTGGAGCCAAAAAATTATAAAACAGGCAAGAATGTTTCCATTTCGCAACCAACC